ATAAAAAGAAAATGCAAAGGAAATTTAGAATCCACATAACTATACTTTTATGAAGAACAACAATAATAAAACAATCATTGCATTTTAGAAAAGCTCTCAACACCCTGAAACATATACACATATTACAGGATAAGTGTTAAATTATTAAATAAGCAAAATGATACAGTATCCTAGCAATAACTATAGCATAAGACTCAGAAATAAAACTGCCTGACTTCAAACCCCAACTTTGTTTATTGTGTGTTAGTCACACCATCATGTCCAACTCTTTGTGACCCCATGGACTAGAGCCCGCCAGGCTCCTCTATCCGTGAAATTTTCCAGGCAAGGATACTGAAGTAGGTTGCCTTTTCCTTCTCCAGGGTATCTTCCCAACCCAGGGATTGAACCCATGTCTCCTGCATTGCAGGCGGATACTTTACCGACTGAGTTACTAAGTAGGGAAGCCTTGTTTATTAGTTAGGAATAATCTAGGAAAATAAATTAATTATTCATGTTTCCATTTCTCCATCTATCTATAAAATATAGATCATAATAAGAATTTATACCTGGAAGACATGTTTTAAATATTAAAAGAGGCAAGCCCATCTCTACATAGAGTAAGCACTAAAAAAAGGCTTTTCCCCCTTTTCTCAATCTAAATAGAATTTGCCATACATTTTGCAAATAAGAATAAAGACCTCTAATTTTTAAAATTAGTATTAAAAGTCCTAAGTCCACTGGAGATCATAATTAACCTTCTACAAGGTGGGCACAAACCAAATGAACAGTTAAATAAAAGTCTAGAAAGCTTTCTTGTCAAGATGATTTTATCTCAGCTGTTTCAAAATAAAGAAGAAAAAAAGAATGAAACACAAGGATTCTTTCTTAAGAGATGTACAAAAAGAATTTAGAATTGCTGTATTAACAAAATATGATTGTTCTCAACAGCAAATTTACTGAGGAAAATGAAAGATTAACAGTAAAATTCAAATTTTAGTGTTTTTAGGATATTCAAAGTTAAAGTGTTGATGCTATTCAAAATTACCAGATCTGTTATGTATAAATTGCTATCCTCTATAAACAAAGAAATTTCAACTGCCTATGACTCGTCTGGCATTAGTTATACTCTAATCTAATACAGCCATTCAACTATCTTTGGGAATATTGTATTCTCTTCTCTCATAAAGAAATTAATACAAGTGACAGAAGGTAACCAAAAAATCAACAGTGTGGGAGGCTTTTTAATAAATTTCATTTTGGCAAATGATCACATATAAATTAGCAAACATTGAAATCATAATGATTTCATTTATTTGTTCTGTACATATCTGATTAACAGGCACTAATTTTGTTGATGGAAACAAGAGAACTCTATTGTTATATACAGATTAGAAATGTAAACACTTAGCATTTCCCACAACTACTGACTTCACAAATTACTTTGAATGTTATTTCAAATAACATTTTGAGTGCCAGAGATTAGGTAAGCAAAGAGCTCTACTGCCCCCTAATGAAATAAACCAAAAAAAAAAAAAAAGCCAAAAAACTCAGAAAACTTGTTTTGAGCCATGTGTGGAACAGGAAAATAATCTTACTTTGCTAAATCAGTAGACAAACACTATGAAAATTAACTGAAAATGACTAGAATATATATCAACATACTATAAGAGAAAAGCTAGGATCATCCAGTTTCCATGATAAAATTAGTAGCAAAACAGGAAAGCCTTGAGACAGAAATGTTCTAAGAGAAAGGAGGTCAGTACAACAATGTTATCTAAAGTGATAGCAATTAAAACTTCACTGCAGGCTACCCTTTTCATGTGTATGTTGGAAGGGAAGGAGAAAAGAGAGATTCTTAGAAACCACTTTACACTGAATTACAGTAAGTTTTCAGTTTAGCAGCTCAAAAGTAAATACTATCAAAATATTCTCTTACAATTTGAACTGACTCTAATCCTCTCCGAATTATTTTAATAATGTGTACTTTCAAAATAACTACACTATAAAGCATACATATGAAAGAATTTTACCTGTTTCCTGTTTTTAAAAAAATGACAATTTCTTAAGCACGACAACTTTGTCCTTCATGACACTCTGCATCATACACTAACCAGTGATAACTTTTACTCTTCCTTTTAATAAAAGTTCTCCCTTCCTTTAACCAATCTGGTTTTTAAAACACATTCCATACTCGTGTTCCTTTAACCTAATATTCTAACCTGTCTAGAATTTCCGAATTCTCATTTCAGAAGAGACGAAATGTTTGGGGGAAGAGGAGTGTGTGTCCTTAATAACCAGAGTTATATAAAAATGAACATCAAGGAATCAGATATAACAAGAGTACAAAGAACAGACTGAGATGATAGAAACATGGAGAAAAAGTAAAGCCCCAGCATCAGTTCATGGAGGGCACAGCGGTGTGGTCGTTCTCTGGCCCTTTAGGGATGGGGCACACATCCCGTGGAGAGGGCGTGTTTCCATCCAGGTTGATCATAACTGTACATCCCATTACATGTCTACTGTTTACAAGGTATAAGGAACAGGGGCCAAATCCATAAAAATGCCACAGGAGAGACAGGCGATACAGACAAAGAGGCTCACTTAAATCTGCAAACAAAAAGAAAATATCTTGTATACTTGTGTGCTGCCGTCCTCTTCCCAAGTGCCTGTTAACGAAAATGGTTCTCTAGCCGTACAAGTCATGCATGTGTGAGTGCTAAGTCACTTCAGTCGTGTCCGACTCTTTGTGACCTACGGACTGTATCCCACCAGGCTCCAAGGGACTCTCCAGGCAGGAATACTGGAGTGGGTTGCCATGCCCTCCTCCAGGGGATCTTCCTGACCCAGGGATCAAACCAGCATCTCTTAGGTCTCCTGCATTGGCAGGAGGCTTCTTTACAACTTAGCCTAAGGGTAATCAAATGTCCGTTCAAAATTTTAAAACAGCAACAAACAGAAAAATACAGATGTGCTCAAGCCTCTGTCTCAAATGGGCTGGCTCTCACATATGTATGGATTTCCTCAACAGTATGAATTAAAAACATGACTCTTTTACTTGAAGCATTACTCACTCATGCCTACTGCCTAAAAATATAACTGACACAGACACATTTTGAAGACATAACAAAGAAGCTGGGAAGACTCAAGCAACCCAAAGTCAAGCATCCCAAAGTCCATCACTGCCAACGTGATGATGCTTAAAGGATATCCAATAGAGGGGTCAAAAAGAGTACCCTTCCAACCTACAAATTCCACATAGCTACTCAGATTTCACACACAAGAGTCATGAGAAATAAAGTGAAGGTACACTGGAGAACATATACATGTGTGTGAGAATGTATAGGTGTGTTTTCCCTTATGGAGCAGTCCCAGTCCGTACCAGTGAGCTCCAGATTATTACCCTAAACCTAAAGGAATGTTCTCCTTAGTTCACAGGGGAAAAAAAAATAAAGGACTTTCCAGGCTACCCTTTACCTCCCTGCGCCCACTAAGCACACACATGAAAAACACGACCAAGAAATAAAAGGGAGAAAGACTGAAAGAAAAGAGGAAAGGCTAATTCCCTTAAGAAATAAAGTCGGTAACAGTTTTTGTTTAAAACAAAGAGCTTTATTTATTCACTAGCCCAAAAAAACTTTTGGTGATGATGATGATGAAGATGGCAGTGGCCAGCATTTATAGAGCATGATGTACTTCACAAACAATGAGTATTTGATCTTCCTTAGAGCCCTGTGAGGCAGATAATACTATTCCTATTTTACAGATGAAGAAACTGAAAATCATAAGGATTAAGTAACTTGCCCGAGGTTAGACAGCTACTAAATTGCAGAGCATATTTAATATACCAGTCAATTCAACACTTAATTGTTACGTTTATGTTATTTTCTGGTGAAAATGTGTGAAATGAAATGACTCTTTGGAAACATTGTAATAAATTAACAGATTTTATGTATGTATGTGCGTGTGTTGTGTGTTAAAATCCAACTCAAATGCCTCAAAATTCTGTAGACATGTAACTAGAGATAGGCACTTAAACGCCAGTTCTTATGAAAGACAGAAACAATCCATAATAGTGGGTTGGCCAAAAAGTTCATTTGGGAAAATCCATGCAAAGTTTCTGGGCAACCCAATAAACAGTGAAAGTGCTAACAAATAAGTAATAATATACACACCTTTCAATGACCATTATTTCAATAAATAATATTTCATTATTCTCCGATCACATACAGTCATGATAATCTCTTCTTCTTCAGATCTTCCCCACTCATTCTCACCTCTACTTCACTTGTCTTACAATGAACATTTTCATTTATTTGAGGAAAAAAGATCACTCCCTTTTCTCGCTATTAAGGATACTCAATTATAGTAAAAAAATATATATATGTAAAAAATAGCTCTGGCTGACATGTGAAATATACATTTCTTTAAATACTATAATAATAAAAACTATTCCATAGCAACTCTTTAACCTCTGATAACATGTTCAAGTTTTCTGAAATTAATACTAAGGAAGAAATCACCATGCAGTATCACCAAAATTCTATTTCATAAGAGCTGAGATTTAAACATACCCACAAACATACTATACATACACAAACACAATTCAGGTCACCTTCATATTCCAGGCATTCGCTGGACAATATTCCCTCTGCCATATGTATGCAGGTTAAAACACAAAACACCCAGAAATGTTCACAAATACCTAAAACATTAAAATTGTAATTTTATTATGACTACCACCAATTTTTTCCCATTGCAGAATTCAAAAGAATATGTTATAACATGTTCTTGCAAGAACGCCATCTTGTAAGAGAATCTGGTTTCTCAAATAAAAAAAGTGAAGTGTAAATCTGACATCAAAACTTGTACAAATAAAGATCTGTCATGTTGTTAATCCTTGTCTAATTTTAATTAAATTATTTCTAAATTTTCAATCCAGAGAGCAAAGACCCTGCCGACAATAAAGTACAAGTCGTAGGAAACAAAATACATCATTTCAATGGGACACTCTTTCTCACCTTCGAATCTTCATTGCTCACTGCCAGCTGTAGCACAGCTTGAGGAGATTTTAGTTTTGCTTCGGCAGAGTGAGCCATCTGAAGGTTAAGCTGCCATCCGACCGTCTCGAGCTACAAAAGACAAGTGTAGACTGGAATCAGATGGTACAGGAGGAAGAAAACACTCAACTTTAAGCAAATCTCCAAGTCAGCAGGAATGAACATGGATAGCCTGGACTTTGTGGAAAGTCAGTTCCTGGGCTCCTTCAACCTGCACACTCTGAACATTCTCCCTTTGGGCTCATTAGACTGGCCTCATGCCATGCCTGTCGAATTCAAGCATAAAACTGGTCTTTAAATACACTCTGTCCTAAAAATAAAAGTTCTGAGAGGAGGCAATGAACTACACTAAAGGAGTCAATGGTTTTTAAACAGTAAATTACTATTTTAAAACAGTGTATTTTAAAGCCAATGGTTTTTAAATAGTTATAAATTGTAACTAGTAAATAGCATATGTATGTGATAACTACTCTAAATGACCTCCCATTATCTTTCAAAACTCTTTGCAATAAGTAGAACAAGGTAAAACTTTTTTTTTTTTAATTTAGTGGAAAACCGAAGTGCCCAGATGGTAAGAGGTTCACACATTTAGACACAGTTAGCGAGACTGGAAGAGCGCCAGACAAAGAATTGATATCTACTTACTAGTGAGCAGGTGTTATCATGCTTTCCAAAGTATTCTAACCTACTATGGTTCCCAGTTATGACAGAAACTAATTAGAATACTTCCTTTGAATTTATTAATTAACACAACAGCAAGATTTAATCAGGAAGGCAAAGACAGCAGACACTAAAGCAGTTCAAGTTTCAAAATATTAAGCAACATAAATGCAGCTTTACTGAACATGACAGATTACTGATTTTTCCAACCTCAAAACCATTAAGTATGAAGTTTTAAATCTAATTTCCAGCAAATCCAAAGTTATCAATATTTAGGGAAGTTTTGTGACATGCAACTGTCATATACTTCTGACAACTCGACTCTAGTAACTGATTTACTGAAACTACCTCAGCTACACTGGTAAGAATGACAGACTCAAAACAATTTTTACTTAACTGGAATACTAATTGCTAGCTTGAAAGACTGTTCAACAGCTAGAATCACAGCAATGACTCAAAGCCAAATTGGAAAGAGAGCAATGAAAGTATTATCTATTCGAGAGAGGATGTGATGAGAAAATAAAGATACAGTTCTGTTCTTCCTGGCACTGAACCTTTAAGAGGTTATGGGTAAAAAGAGCGAAGATGTTGCAGAGACATAATCCATAATACCACAAGTAAAAAAATCAATTTAATGGTACACATGAAGCAAGGATCCGTAATGTACTGATTTTTAATACTAATTATAGTAAAACAGTCTCTAACACCAGCTCACTACTATTTTCAACAGTCCACGGAGTCCACAAAGACTCAGATACGACCTAGAAGACTGAACAACAATTATTTTCAACAGTTACAGCAATAGATCCTCCAACATAACAGGAAAACACATGTCACAACTACTCTCATATATCCAAGCATTTTGATACACAGTCTTAATTGAAAAACACCCTCTAGGTACTCAGATGAACCTACAAGACACTGTTTTGATCTTACTTAACTAATCCTATACTTATCCTTTAAGCACTTAAGATAAACAACAAAGATAAATATTAAGTGAATAAATTAAAATATGGTCCCACTATGGTCAGGCCTTTGCACAAATGAATGTATACTTAGTCACTGCATAGAGGTGGAATGGGGCAATTAAGATCACTGAACTTAAAGCTTATGCTTTAGTTCATACTTAAGCCACTACTCACTACCTAGGTGGCCCTAATAATTAAGTCACAATCTTTCAAGATCTCAATTTCCTCATAGGAAGTGGAAATAAATCTGTCTGACTTATCTGCTTTTTTCCTGAGTTATTGGCAATATTAAATAAGAAAATGCATATTCAAACTGTTTTGGGAACTCCAAAGCATTATAAACATAAGGCATTTTGATTACCTAATTTTTCCTATACTATTTTTTAATAGTATCTTTTTAAACAGAGTAGGCACTCTATATGCTGAATTGAATTGAAGCAAATAAAAAAATACAAGCAAAGGTAACTTTAAAAACATCATAACTAAAAAATTGTTGACTGACTTTCTTAAATTTTAGAGCCTTTTCTATTGTTTTGTGATTTAGAAACATTCATCCCATTCCCACAAGAAACAGTAACTTAAAAAGTTAAAAAAAAAAAATGTAATTGTTGTTCAGCTGCTAAGCCTCTCATATGTAGACATATGCACATACACACACCCATACATAAAATTTCATATTAAAAGAGCACTATCCAGAAACCTCAAATGAAGAGGGAATAAAGGAGAGCCACAATTTTTTTTAAAAAATATTTTACAGTTACACAGCAATAAGAAAAACAAAACTAAGAAAATCTTTCCAGTGAAACTAGGAGACAATACCAGCACTACTCTTATTATCCCCATTTTACAGATAAAATATGTAAAAGTAAACAACTGGTGAAGAGAAGAGCATACAGAGGCTCCTTATGCTTGTTACTATTGCCACTTTTCTCTAAATCGGAAATTATATCAAAATCAAAAGTTACAAAAATAAACTGTAGTAAAAATCATCAATGGATACTAAATTTAAGTGGAGAAGGTCTGATATGAAATGAATAGTCACAAAGCTTCTTGCCCACAATTGCTTTTTAGGTACAAAAGAAAAAAATAATTATGCAGTGGAAAAAAAAGCAAAACACCTTAACCAAGAGATCAAAATTAACATCACCAAGCAGTGGCAGACAAGATGTGCCTCCAGGTACGATATCCTGCAAGTACCATTCACAAAAATGTTTAGCAAAATTATAACTAAATTTGATCCTGAAGAAACTTAACAGAAAATATAAAGATAGACATAAGAGGAATGTACACTTGAAAAACATCAATGTCCTAAAAGACAAAGACAAGTTGAAGAAAGAAGGAATTCCTTAAAGTGGTTAGAACATATATTATTTTCTGAGTCTGTAATAGACACTGGTGATATAAATATGAATAAAACAAAAGTCTTTTACCAAGGTGAAGATGTTATAGTATACTCTAATTATTCCTCTGAGACTCCTAACTAAGAAACAAATATGAAAGTCATCAACATTTTAATTACATAGGAAACAAAATCTAGATTGAATTTTTACTTAAGTTAGCTAAACTACATTGCTTCTATTTAAAAGAAAATTCTGTATTGTGTATATCAAACATTTGTACATTAAAATACCAGGAATCATTTGAATAGATATCTCACATCCAAATTTAAATCTGAGGGTCTTTATACCTTAATCAACATTCTACATTTAAATGTCACCAACACAACATAAAACACAAGGAGAATGAGCCACTAATATTTTTAATGTTTTCTAACCTATGCCAAAGCTGTTTAAATGATAGTTCTTAGGCATCTCACTTACATTACTTATTATCTGACAGTGTCACTAAGATGTCAGTTCAAAACAGGTACAAAGACTTCATTCTCCCTCTAACATCCAGGTAACAACTCCAAGCTTAACTTCTCGTAACTGCTTTGTAAATCACAATTCCAAGCACATGCAAAATCAGTCAAAATTACAATAATATTAACTCTCTTAAAATGAAAATGAAAATGTAATGTTAATCACCATACTTTAACTACTGGCTCCCTATAATAGTAGCTTCTGCTTGGATCATATCACATAGTAAGAAAGACTTTTTTATGTTGCAAATTTATATAAATATACAAAAGTGTCACAAGATAATTTTTCACCCAGAGCAATGATACATAAATTCTGTTAAGTTTCACTCTTAAAATACTAATTCAAAAACCCTCCAAATTGATTTCATTACCCACTAAACCTCTAACAGCTCAGGCTATCTACAGTAGGGAAAATACTGCTCAGAAATACTGAATGAGTTTTAGGAATTATGTGTGTGTGTGTGTATTCATGAAACAATTACTGTTTACTATAATCAATCATGAAAACACATAAAAACAGAACTCTAACTGCTAAAAGAGAAAGCACTATCTATATTCTGTTGCTATAATCCACCATTTATTTTATAACTAGCAAATACTACAAGCAGAAATTCCATATATAATATGTATATGGCTTATTACAGAAACTATACATTATTATTTACTCTTATGAAATGTAAAATCTGGAAGTTGACTAAACATTTAATACAAGAAGAACATGAACCTATTTTTAAAGCTTAGCTAAATACTTATTCCCCAATTTCCTTGACCACTTCTCTTAACCTCAGTGATTTCTTCCTATACAATCTACTGACTAGTTATAGGAAATTCCCCACTTAAAAAAAATTCTAGTTGGTTTATTCTGTGTTTTCTAAAATTATACACATCGAATGAAGCATGAAATAAGAACTTTTTCTAAATCTTTCATACAGGGGAGAAGGGCATTTTTCAGTTCAATGTAATCTGCTTAATAAGGTTAGCTTTTAGACACATTTCTCATTATAAACCTGTATCACCAAGAAAGTAATACCTGCTGGGAAAATCAATTTATGAATGTGTAAGAGGTCATACTTATGATCCCTCAATAATGGCATGTGTATATGAATGTGTATATAATTAAATCTTTAAAATAATAGATTCAGAGTAACTTTACATTTGTCTAAAATAGAGACGTTTCTAGTATTTCCACTACAATCAATAAGAGATTTATTTTCTTCAGCAATATATGTACCTACAGAGTCTGCCAAAGGACAGAAGATGACAAGATCAATTTAGAAGTACATTTTATTGGAAACATCCTATTAATATAAACCAGTGAACAATAGGGGCACTGATGTTTATACCTCAAATTTTACCTTTTTCCTTCAAAAGAAAATGCTGTAGAAGAAATGAAGGGTATTTATAATCCACTCAAATAGGTCCATTAATCAAATCAGGAAATTTTTAAACAACCTGTCACTAGGAGGCCCTCCAAGAGATGCCAAGTTTTACTCCTCATCTTTAAGCTGGCAATGCCCAATTTACAAAGTCATATTCCAAAAAAAAAAATCTATTTGTTTGGAACTTAGAACAAATTTGCAAAT